AAGTACATGTTCTGGGCTAAGGCCCCAGCAAGCCTAGTGCCCGCCCTAAGTGAAGGCGGGCCAGCAAATCGACAAGAGCCCTTTGTGCAACGTTTCACGAAGTGGGGTTCATACAGTTGCAGCACGCCAGTTGGTTGGAGTGCACCGAGTCTCGGATTTCAGCAAATGCTAAAAGCCCAGGGCCTCTGAGTTGGTTAGGCCCTGGGCATCTGAACGTGAGGCCGACAATGCATGCTGGGAAGAGAGGCCGAAAATGCCAAAGGGAAATCGGCCCACTGTCTGAATCTGGCCGCAGGCCTTGATGAAGGAGGCGCAACTGCCTTACCCCGGGGCCTAACTGTATCGAGTTGGCTTCAGCCTCTGGGCCCCGGTCACAGGGTGAAGGGAGGCCGCCCACACACTGCACTGGCATATAGGCAAGCAGGGCGAGGCAGCGGGGATCTTGGCCAATGCTGGCATATGCGGGCACGATGCGCGGATGCAAGTGTGCTGCGTTAATGCAGAGCAGCGCTGCGCTAAGAAGAAGCAGGGCAGCGCTAGGCGGTAGGGCGCTGCTTGCTTGCAGAGCACTGGCGGCCATAGCCGGGCCGCAAGAGGGTGCAGGGGAGGTGAGGGCAAAGGTGGTACTTCGGAGATGAAGGGCGCTGTGTGGGTAACAAGGGAGAGTGTGGGGAAGCTGACACGTACCTGGTGATGGTGGAATACGACATTGGTGTTGACATCATCACTCGCTGGTAGTCAAGTTGTCTGGTTGCTGTTCATTGCTGTAGTTGTAGGATAGGCTGTAGAGTAGATAGGGTCCCTAGCGCCATTCACAAGAGAGAGCTACATTTGGGTTATGCTGTTGGTGTTGCCCTGTTGGGCATGGACATTGACTCACGATTCTTCTGTATCATTCTCAATGGGATGGTTACTACATTTGGGTTATGCTGTTGGTGTTGCCCTGTTGGGCATGGACATTGACTCACGATTCTTCTGTATCATTCTCAATGGGATGGTTACCCGGTTCCATGTGCTATCTGCTTTGGCTTTGAATACTTGGACTTCAGTGTGATTTTGCATTATGGATGTCTGTGCTTCGTCCATACTCATGTTCCTTGCAGAAGGCATATTAGTCAAGCAAGGCAATTGACACATCCCTTAGATAAACCAATTGCCATTGTCACAACAAAGTTCAATATATTTTATATTTTTCCTTTTTTTTTTTTTCTGATTTTTTTTCTTTTTTTCTTTTTCCATAACACTCTTTAAGCGAACAGCGGTCCTCACGTAACCCTTCCGCAAGAGGCCACTGCGCACTCTTGGGAAACGCGGCGGGACTGCCAGGCGGGCCCAACAGACACTGCGCGCATTTTTCACGCCGCGAGCGGGCTTGCCTTAGACGGCCCGATAGAAATTTCGGGATCCGTGCGTATGAGACTGAATTTTCCTCTGGAACATGCGGAGATACAGAGGTTCCCTTTTGTTCGTTTGTTTGAGAGCGTAGAGTTCCCTCTCATAGGTAGATGTCGCGACCTTCTTTGAAGGCATTCTGGCGAACATGAACTCTACGGGTCTATACCCATTGCCATCGTCTTGCTGTAACACTGCGCCTATGCCGTACTGGCTAGCATCCGTAGTAACGACAAAAGGCAAGGACGGATCGGCGACCTTAAGGACCGGGTACTCTATCAATGCCTGCTTTAGCTTCTTCATGGCAGACGTGCAGTCCTTGTCCCACTTCCAGATTGTCTCTTTTCTTAGCAATCT